CAAATTTCACTTCACCCTCTAATTACTTAACCTGAGAACGAATTTGGGTCACAGTGTAAGGAAAAGATGATCTACATCTCCTTATTCACCCTCTTATCTATACAAGAAAAATACCAGTTGTATATGTTGACCAATTCCCTATTATGAGTTGGTCAACTTATATTCAAGGACCCGAAAGATTCCCTGACCAGGTACTCTACACACGAACGGTCCGTATGGTGTCATGCCGACCACATGTCCAACACAGGGCCAATTTCGAGTGAGCGCAGAGTGTAAAGTTTTGTCAATAACATAATAGCCTCTAGAGAGCTTAGGGATCAAAATCGTTCTATTCTAATGTTGTAATATGAGAAGCTCCATGTTGATTTAATTCCTCTTTAACCTCTACAATCTAGATCAGCCACTCATGTATGATGTTGTAAGTTCATCATTGCGCAATCTTCTTGAACGTAGAATGATTCATATCTCTGATACGGCACAGTTATCACTCAGTGATCGAGAGGATGAAATATCCATTTTATTGTCTTTGTTTATCGTGTTATGGGTCTACACTATATAATCTATGGAATAAACAACTTTAGTTCTTGTACTCTTCAACTTTTCCCTCTCTAGATTTACATGCTTTCTGTACGGTTAATATTCATTAGATTGACCATACACCTCTTCTGAGGGGAGGAGTTATATCACTTATGCTCTCTCTACATCATTAGGATAGCGAGGCCTTTTGTACAGCTCACTGAGGCTATTCATATAGTATTTTACACTATCTAACTGTTCCAGTTTGTGTGTGATTTCACTTTTATTTGAACATCTTAATTGGCGGATAGGGGCAACATATCATCTATACAATAACACGCTACATTTTGCTAACATTGAGATCTCTCTAATGTGCATGGTACTCTCCACAATTATGTTAGCTCACATAGCCAATCTTTGAAGTATCATCCGTACACAGCATCAAATATGTTTACTCTAATGTAAACTAATTTGTTGGGCAATTTCGCCCTCTAATATCTCGGTATACGTCAAATTTGGATATTCAACCTTCACTCGGATTAAAACCTCCACTAACACCTTGTTGTTCCAACCAAAGTCCTCAGACGCCATATCTCTTAAGATATGACATTAGAGGATGAGTTAAAGCATCTAGACCCATAAGATCACTTGCGAAATCGTACAACACGGTCGCGTACATTGCATTGCAAGGTCATTACATGACGTATCGTCAGGAGTAGAACTCTCTTCACGGTTTTTGTCCTCGAGTTGACTCTTTCACCAGCAAGCACAAACCCGCTGAAGAGTTGGAAAATGTCTCTATCTCAAAAGATTATCCGAGATCGGCATGGTGAAGATTGGCACCACCTTGTCACCGCCCAATTCGGTTGGCATGATCTTTTTCGATAAACTGAGTCTCACTGGTAAAAGGACTGCCAGGGTTATCTCTCTTATCTCTGGATCCTTAAGTATGACCCCAGACCAAGCCAGTGAGACGACCGAAGATCTTTCTCTGAACAGTTACCATCATAGTGAAAAACTCAAAGGCATAGGCTTCGTCCTTTGAGTTAATATTAACTGGTAGCAAATGTGTCCTGTAAGAAAGAATCTACAGGAAAGTCTCCTCTCAAAAGGTCTTTGAGAATGTGTCGATACACAGACTTAAAAAGATTCGTTGGAAGTTTTCTCACCTCTCATTAGACAGACTTATAGACTCTACGCAGGGTGTGAACTTTCTGAGCTTCATGATTACTTACCGGATTACCAATTCCTCATGAAACCCTAGTGCAAGAAACAACCGTCACTCTGACAAACGTATATTGCATGAAATTCTTGGTATATGATGAGTATTATTCAAAGACGTCAAATTTCATGTTGCCAACAATTGGAAATTTGAAGTTACTTGATTGATATGCTAGTCAGAGCAAACATAGACTAACACATCCACCAACCTATCTGAAACGTCACCATTCTGGGAAGAGTATCATAAGACCCAACAAATGTGCCTCTTACTGCGTCTTAGTTATGTAAGCCTCTTCATTGAGGCTAATCCAAGTTTCAATCAATCCTCGCATAGGGCCCAGTAATTCAAAAAAGACTTAAGCCTTTATGAAGTACACCTAACTATTCATTTAAGGCCAAGACAGATTGCCTCTCGACACTAGGGAATAGCTACATTACAGGATTGAATGAATGTGTGACCAATTCAAGAACTTAAAAACAGAGTAAAGCCCTCGCCTCTCAAACCTGAGGTTGGTGACACTCTTTCATAACTATCGGGTCAGTTCGCTTCCGCAGTAAGTTTCCGTTCTCATTCAAATGATGGTATCGAACACCTTTCTACTGCGCTAGCAAAGCCTTACAAGATGCAGAGACAAGATACTTCACATTTAGAAATTGGCTTTTACATTGGTCATGTATGCTCGAAAACTTCGCCTTACTTCCAAGCACCACTCATCATCGTGCTTACCAATCATTCTCTTCGACAGATACTCCAAAGTCCTGACACTTCCGGGCAAAAATGATCAAATGAGCGATAACATTGGGTGAGTTTGACATCTCTTACCAATCAAAGCCAGCTGAGAAGGGCCAAGCAGTGGCAGACTTCATCGCCGAATTCACATATCTTGTTGACATTGTTTTCTACGCCTAAAGAAGTGGTTTCATTACCCTTGGAAGCTCAGAAAATATAACCAACAACCCCAACTTGGAGTCTATATGTTAATGGCTCGTCCAACCAATAGGGTTTGTGGAGCAGGACTAATCCTTACGACCCCTGACAAAGTGGCGATGGAGTATGATATTCGTTTCAAATTCAAGGTGTCGAACAATAAGGCCGAATATGAAGCCCTCCTAGCAGGCTTACGTTTGGCCAAACACCTTGGGGTTAAACGAATTGATATCTTCAGTGACTCCCAATTGGTGGTTAATCAGGTCACCAACAACTTTAATGTTAATGATAGCTCTATGGCAACATATATGGCACAAACATAATTGTTGCTCCAGCACTTCCACTACCAGATCACCCAAATTCCTCGAGCGGCAAACAGTCATGCAGATGCTTTGGCTCGCCTCGCCTCAGCGGTGGAAGACAAGATTGGGAGAAAAATTCAAGTCGAATTGTTGGCAGCACCAAGCACCATGGCTGCGGAAGTGTGCAACTTACAACAGGGGGATAGTTGGATTACCTCGATTTATAGATTCCTTGCTCATTGCACCCTTCCAAATGACAAAGTCCAAGCTAAGCAGATTCGATACAAGGCTACCTGTTACTTGATCATTAATGACCAACTCTACAAATGGGGTTTTAACCTACCATACCTAAGATGCCTTACGCCCGCAAAGGCGGAAACTGTCATTCAGGAAATACATGAAGGAGTTTACGGAGATCATGATGGATCTCGATCCCTAGCACACAAGGCTTTTCGCCAAGGATATTATTGGCCAACACTCCACCAAGATGCCATCAGAATATCCCGCTTATGTGATAAGTGTCAATGCTACATAACTATTCATCACTCCCCTCCTGAGCTGCTCACTCCCATGATTAGCCTTTGGCCCTTCGCCCAATGGGGACTTGATTTGATCAGCCCAATGCCTAGAGGGAAGGGCAAGGTCCACTATGCAATCATTGCAGTTGACTACTTCATAAAGAGGGCTGAAGTAAAACCCTTGGCAACCATTACTGAGGCAAAAATAGAAGACTTCGTATGGAAGAACATCCTTTGCAGATTCGACATTCCCAATGCGATAGTCACTGACAACGGGCAACCGTTCGACAACAATAAGTTCAGGATGTTCTGCTCTAAGTTCAACATCAACTTATGTTTTGCCTTCACAACTCATCCCTAGTCTAATGGACAAGTTGAAGCCATCAACAAAATAATTAAGCGAACTTTGAAAACCAGCTTGGACAAGGCTAAAGGTTGTTGGCCAGAATTTGTACCCCAAGTTCTTTGGTCATATCGCACTTCGTATCGGACATCAACAGGAAAAACCCCATTCTCACTTGTCTTTGGTACAAAGGCAGTTGTCCTAGTTTAGCTTGAGCATGCAACATTCTGAGTCTAGAACTACGTGCAAAGTGAAAATGACAAACAACTTACCCTCAACTTAAATCTAGTCGAGGAACACAGAAACCAGGCTCACTTGAGGAATGTCGCCTACAAGCAGCGCATCTCCAACTACTATGACTCTAGGGTCAAACCTCGTTCTTTCAAAGTGGGGGACTAGGTATTGAAGAAGAGATTACTCTGCGACAGAGTCCCGAGTGAAGGAACACTTAGTCCAAACTGGGATGGACCGTTTGAAGTTGTTAGCATTAGTCGCCCTGGCTCCTACAAGCTTAGAAGCTCCGATGGCAAGACCCTTGGCCATCCATGGAACGCTGATCACTTGAAGTACTATTACAAGTAAATTCACATTGTACAAGTGTTAAGCTTCAGCCGTTCGACATCCTATGTAACGAAGACTATTTGGCATGAATTCAATAAAGAGGTGATTTAGACAACTCGGTCCTAATCCTCTTACATTCCTAGCAATGAAACACTCGGGTTCAAAGCTTCGACATGAATGCTTCCAACAGGAAATCAAGTCTAAGTATATGTCAACAAGACTATACAAATAAACAAACAGTACTGGACAGAACTAGTACATCCAAGTTATGGCTTATATCTAAACAAAGGATTTGCTTAAACATAGCCAAGCATTCATCAATGATAGTGCAAATACTTGGTAATTAACAATAAACTAATACATCCAGAGTACATGGCACATGCCACACAAACAACAAACTAGTACATCCAGAGTACATGGCACATGCCCACACAAACAACAAACTAGTACATCCAGAGTACATGGCATAAGCCACACAAACAACAAACTAGTACATCCAAAGTACATGGCACATGCCACACAAACAACAAACTCGTACATGCAGAGTACATGCAGAAAAAAGAGGCACAACGAATCATCCTTATCTGAGGCCGAATCCTTGACAATATCACTTTGCGTTTCAACCCTATCGTCATCACCACATTCCTCAGCATCTCCAGGACCATCCTCACTCTCCTGAGACTGCTCACTGATACTAGCCTCATTATCAGAGTCATCATCACTATTAGGATCAACTGCGAGGACGAAGGCTTCACCCTTTTGTCGGTACTCATCCATCTCATCACGATACTTTCGGATAATGCTTCCATTATCGTAACACTCAAGGATGGCCATCCATTTCCTTTTCTCAAAATTAACCGCTCGGATGCAGTGAGGTCTAAAAGCATCGTGAAAGGCCTGGGAACCTAAGAACTTCTGAACAGCAGCATCCCTCTCAGTTGAGATACTCATCTTCAGCCCAGAAACCTCAACCAAGGCATTATCCAACTCCCCTTTAACCTTGGAAACCTCAAGGATGGTTGTCTTCAACTGTTCCTTAGTTGCTTCCAATTGTTTCTTGAGCCTCACGTTCTCACCATTCCACCTCTTCAAACTCTCGAAGTTTTCATCCTTAAGGCGGATGGCATCAGCCAAAGCTTTGCTCGTTTTTCTGGCGTTATTCACAAGCTGCTTATTCTCTTTAAACTTTGCCTTGTACCGCTCAACTTCTCGTAATCTGTCATCGTACTCAATCATGACCTACATGACAAGATAATCGTCACTACCAAGAAAAAGAAGGGAGAAAACAAAGAAATGACAAAGTAACACTTACATAAGAAGATAGCCTCATCATTCGATCACGATCTGATTCGTTCTCATCTAGCGGCTCGCCGAGCTCATTAACAGTGGATCGACGTCCTGCCAGGCTATTATTGACATACCTAAAACTACTTGGCTGCATGGCAACCTTTAAGTCCTTCCAAAGAATGTTGCCAACCTCTTCCTTGTACTTTCTCTTACGGCTACAGCTAGGGCCACCTTCTTAGTCAGTAGACTCCATGGTTGGAGGAAATATGGGATTGATGGTAGGAAGAGGAGGCAATAGTCGTCTCTCCTCCCTTGCAACTATGGTAGCAACACACCCGATGGCCTCAACTTCAGCCTTATTCGAGGCAACAACCTTGAGGACCTCCTCTTGCGACTTAGGTTTAGGGGTCGGCCTCACACGGTGCTTACGAGCTCCCTTGTGAAACAAAATGTCGTCTATGGGAACTAACATGGGTGATCTCCCTTTCTTGGCGTTAGTCTCCCCTTTCTTGCCCATTTTCTCCACTGAACAAGAAAAATCAAAGTAAAGAATGCAACTTTGTAAAAGAAAGAGAGGGCAAAATGAATGACACAACTTACTTGCTCGTCTCTGGCACTCCGACACTAGGGGCTAGAAACCGTACTTTCGAAATAAGAGTCGTAGCTTGCCCATATGTTTATCCTCTTTGGGCACCCTCAACACCTTCTCTATGTTAGCTAGCTCCCGTCCAGACAGCTTGATGGTCCCTCGCATCACTGCACGAAGAAAAAATGTTAGAAGCAAGAGAAAATCACAACAAATAGCAAATAATGCAAACAATGGATACATTACAACCTACAGTCTAGAAGTGAGTAGGAACACGTCGCTCAGGTGTGACACCTTTAGCATACTCCCAATCATTATAAAGAAAGCACCAACGGTTTTTCCAAGTGCAGTACGCCTTTTTTTTTTTACCAAAGACAATACGTTTTCTCTCACTCCGACACGCACACTCGGCATACCCAGTACATGCTTTCACCGGGCGCATCTTATAGCAGTAGCGCCATTGATGAAATGAAGGCTCACCTAACCCACATTCCATCCAAATAATTTAAAACCCGATCAAGGTATCCCAAAAACCAGGGTAGAGTTGCCTAGGCGCATATCCAATGAAAGACAGCATCCGTTGCAACCACGGGTGCAAAGGCAGCTTCACCCCTAAAGTCAATAATATCTGGGTATAGAACATAACATGACCCTTGGATGGTTCAGAGGACAATTCTTCATGATGCACCAAACGCATTCCTACACTACGGGGGATACTACATGACTGCCTTAGAGCCTCAAGCTATTTTTCATTATCTAACAAGTTTTGCACTAAATGGTCTGTTGTGAACTCAGAGCGAAATATGGGTATGGTGTCACAAACAACCCCCTCACCCACTGACATTAAGTAGGAAGAACCAATATTGGCTAAGGCTTGGCACTTGCGAGGATCACCCAATCTCGAATTTTTTGTACAAGACTCCAACAAAGGCCTTGAAGACTCCAACATTGCAACCTCAAACCTAGAGTTAGAGTTAGGGGAGCCCCCATCACTAGGACTTCCAAACTCTGACATCTACAACAAAAAGAAACAAACTCTATCACCGCATGAAAGATCGAAACATAAGGAAGTTCCTAGGGCGTGGAGAAAAGCTCAATCAGTTCATTATGTTCTCAACCAAATACATGAACACTCTAACAATTCATCAAGAAGGAAAGCATGTGATCTAGTGGAGAAGATTACCAACCTGAAGATGGTGCAAAGCAATTGGAATCCCCTCTCACCTATAAGAGCACTCTATCTCCAAAAATCACTACAAAATGAGCAAATGAAGACAATGAAAAGAGTGGAAACTTCTCATTCTTATAGGGTTCAACATGGCCAAAGAAATTCAAAATTCAAAATTCAAACCATGAGAAAACCCCACATGGAAAGTCTTCAAACTTCCACACAAGCTAGGGAGTTTTCAAATTTCAAACTTGCGTGCCCCTCTCTCCTTCAAAAAAAAAAAAAGGAGGAGGTGAACACATTAGCTTCATCAATTTATGGTGCCAACAAGAGCTTCATCAAAGGAGTTCAACCACAATTCTCAAAAGCTTCACACACTCTTGATCAAGACAGTGTGAAGCAAAACCAATTTATGGTGCCAACAAGAGCTTCATCAATGGAGGACAAGCACAACTCTCAAAAGCTTCACACACTCTTGATCAAGACAGTGTGAAGCAAAACCAATTTATGGTGCCAACAAGAGCTTCATCAATGGAAGGCAACCACAATTCTCAAAAGTTTCACACACTCTTGATCAAGACAATGTGAAGCAAAATCAATTCATGGTGCTCAACAAAGCTTCAACCTTAAAGCTTCACCTACAAAGCTTCAACACAAANGCTCTTC